TTAATCAGTTAGATGGATTTGATCCCAGAGGAAACATTAAAGTTTTAATGGCAACCAACAGACCAGATACATTAGATCCAGCATTGATGCGCCCTGGCCGTCTTGATAGAAAGGTTGAATTTGGTTTGCCTGATTTAGAAGGCCGAACTCATATTTTCAATATACATGCCAGAGCTATGAGTGTTGAACGAGATATTCGTTTTGAATTGCTGGCTAGACTTTGTCCCAATAGCACTGGTAAGTCTAAATTTATTAATTTGTATAATATAATGTAATCTATTGTATGGTTATGCATTGTTGAACCGTTCAAAAATCTGGTGCTAATTGGTATGAAAATTATAAATTGCTGTAGAGAGGATTTTTAGGTTTTCACATATTGTATTTATTGGGTTTATGGCTTTATGTAACTTAATAGGAATACAAATGCGAGAATTTTTTAATTATAGACATAGTAAAAACAATTTTATTTTGCATATTTTATCAAATTTTGGCGCTCAGTGAAAATTTATCCTATATTTCATATTTTAAAATATATTGTTTATGAAAAATCATTATTGTTCATTTATTGAATGGGAATTTATTTTATAATACAAAAAAAAAAAGGCGATTGTAATCTTTTAATAACTTGTTTTTAATCATCAATTGTTTATTTCAATGATTTTATTAACTAAATAAGAAACTACACCTATTGTATAATATAATACATTTCAAATTTCATTGACATTAAATTTACAAAAGACTTATTATGTGCCTTTTGCAAATGACACTTAGTTAAAATAAAATAACCAACAAAAACATAATTAATATGAATTATGGAGTAATATTCATATTTGATTATATCCGATAATTTTTTTGTATCGATGTCTGCATTGCTAAATGTATAACAATTCTATTTTTTTATTACAACTTTAGGGGCGGAAATAAGATCCGTATGTACTGAAGCTGGTATGTTTGCAATTAGAGCTCGTCGGAAAGTCGCCACCGAAAAAGATTTCCTAGAAGCTGTAAATAAGGTCATCAAATCATACGCCAAATTCTCTTCTACTCCACGTTATATGACATATAACTAATATAATATTAATTCATATTTCAAATTGGTTTATAGTGTGTATATCCAATTTCAATTAGTTTGTATGTATTTGAAAGATGGTATAAAATTAATTTTAATATTTTGCTATTCAGAATTATCTATTTAAAATATACAAATGTAAATTCACAGTAAATTATTATCTCCTTTATTTTTTACTGTTTCTAACCACAAGTAAATTATTAAAATTATAATATTTAATTTGTATGTCCTATTTATATACATCCTAAAAAAATACTAAAAAGCGTCTCATCGTGTTTGTTTTAAATTTTGTTCACTCAAATAATAAATTTAAAAACTGAATAAAAACTTATTTTCCTCCACTTTATTCATGTTATAATTCACAATAACTGTTGTACAGTTATATGATAATTACACAAATACAAACTAAATTTGGTTGTGCCGGTCTGTTTTTTTTTAGAAAATTGGTCAGATTGTTGATATTTTTTGTGTTCAGACCTTTAAATGCTGCATTTAATTAAATTGGATGGAATGTTGTTTTCCTTATTTGGTTCCTCTTTAGCTACTAACAACTAGTGTGTTAACCTTGTATCACCTATCTGGAGATGATTAATTAAATATTATTGTTTTCTATTGTCACAACCAGTGGGACTAGCATTTTCATTTGGGTTTTGATGTCAGATTATGTTGAGTTTAGAATATATGTTGTACACCAAAAATGTTATAGGCTTTAGCCTCCCCCCCTATAAAAAATTCACCTCACTAAGCCTTTGCTCTGCTTTATGATGGATGAATTTATGGATTGGTGTCGGTTAGTTTAGGTAGGTACCTCTTCATCGAGCTGGCCACTAACGAATGTGCTAGATTTAAATTTAATAATAAATCTTTGTATGCAATGAAAAATGATTCTGAGTGGAGAAAGTCTTACTTTTTCACGCACAATTTAAAAATCATGATAACTAAATAATATTACCTACCTATTTTCATACTAAAATTTACTAGAATTTTAACAAATGTTCATATTTATTGTTTGGTTTCCATACATTACTTTAGGAAAAGTACAAATTAAATTCCAATCGTGGAAAAAAATCCCAGAAATAAAATCTGAGAGAAATCAACTCACCATGGAAAAAAAATTTAAATATGACACATGTTTAGTGTTTACTTACATAATATATTGTGTTATAAATTATAATTTATACCTAAAAATTGTTTTATATTGAGTCACTAGGTTTAGGTACCTAGTTAATGTTTATCAAAAAACGTTTAGGGTAGGCTAACCTACCTGGCCACCTACTACATTTATACAAAAATTACAGTACTATAAAATTAATTATATAATACGAGTATTGTTCTACTCTTATAAATTATATTAAGACGACACAAAACAGGTAGTAGTACCTATAATATTAGTTTGTTGCTCAAGTTTAATACATACCTATATGGAAACATTCCAGTGGACTCACTTTTTTTTATTATTAATCTTAGTAATATCAGCTACTAGTCATTACTCATTAGTTACTGTTCCTTGTCTGTGGTTATTGTTATTATTTATTTATTTATTTATTTAAGTTTTAAACGGGCCAGGCCCAATTACATACATAATAATAATAATAACGACAATCGATCGTTAAGTAATATACATAAACAGAATAATTATAGAGAAAAACAGCTAACACTTTCGTAAAAGCACATGACTGGACCGTTCAATCACATATTTCGAGACTTTCAAACGTTCCCGCCTTCGAAACGACACCTCCAGAGCGCCTCATCACAAATCTTTACTCCGAAATCGGTATTCCCTCGACGTGACTAACTTGCTAGACACTCAAATACGGCTCATAAGTTGTACTCTTTGGTTTAGACTTTGGTAAAAGCACAAGACTGGAAAGTTCAATCACATATTTCGAGTCTTTCAAACGTTCCCGCCTTCGAAACGGCACCACGAAAATGCATTATCACAAATCCTTATCACGTTCTCTGACATTTTCTCGGACCCCTACAGTCTACAGAGGCGACTTTTATAGTTTCGACTACTCAGTCTCCGAAATCGGTACCCACTTTCAGCTAACACGGGGGGTCTGGGGGTCTCCCCCAGCGACGCTCGAAGAGCTAGTAAAATATAAAATATTAATGATTATTATCTGTTATCTAAATTGTGTACCTATACAATTATTGTATTATGCTGTTTTGAATTATAATCATTATTCAATGTAATAGATAAAAATTATGAATAGTACCTACAATACAATTGTACGGCACTCTCGTGGACTTTTATTTTCGTTTGTTTATTTTTTCCGTTAAAGATTTTCTGGGCTTTTTTTTCGACTACCGAATCTAGTAACTAGTAAGTGCGTTTGAGAAGTCAAAATTCAAAATCCTAAATATTTTTTAAAAGCATCAGGGAAAAAAATAAATTAAGGAAAAACGGGAATTTATATGGAAACTCAATTTTGTTTTCTTGGACTTTGGAGTACCTAACTTAAAACGAATAACCGTAAATAGTTGAAACTCTCTTTAAATGTTTACATTAGCATTTACTGAACATGATTCAAATTTTCAAAATATATTGACTCATTTTATGTTCTTTATAGGCGTAAAAGATTTTTGATTTTTGTTTTTTTTTTAATTAAAAATTTTGTACAAAAACTTTAAAATGTATAATTATGCACAAGGTTCCTCATAAGTTGTTATAACTAACTTCAAGAGGTGAAATTAAAAAAAAAATTTACGTTAATACACAAACATAAAATCTTTAACCGTGGTCTAAACTCTGGAGTTAGAATTTTGAGATTTGACAAAATTTAAATTGTATATTATATTATTATATGAACTATGAATAATATTCTTGAATCGGGATAACGACACGGCGAAACAACGCAACCGTAGAGTACAAACCATGAACTAAGATATACCATATACCTATATCTTAATTCTTAGTTCATGGTATGAAACACGAGTACTTGAGTGTAGGCATAGAAAAATATAGGTAGAGGTGTCGTGTACTCACTACTCGACACTTGTGGATTGGTCTGTACTCGGTAATCTGCAGACCTACGGTTCTAAACCATGATAATAATGTCAAATGATAGTATGATCACAGAACAGTTTGTGATACTATTCTCAGTCAACTCATGTAGGCTGTACCATGAATATTATAATTACATTTATTCTGTCTCTGTGACTGTAATCCTTACCATATCTGGGGGTCTCCCCCAGCGACGCTCGAAGAGCTAGTAAAATATAAAATATTAATGATTATTATCTGTTATCTAAATTGTGTACCTATACAATTATTGTATTATGCTGTTTTGAATTATAATCATTATTCAATGTAATAGATAAAAATTATGAATAGTACCTACAATACAATTGTACGGCACTCTCGTGGACTTTTATTTTCGTTTGTTTATTTTTTCCGTTAAAGATTTTCTGGGCTTTTTTTTCGACTACCGAATCTAGTAACTAGTAAGTGCGTTTGAGAAGTCAAAATTCAAAATCCTAAATATTTTTTAAAAGCATCAGGGAAAAAAATAAATTAAGGAAAAACGGGAATTTATATGGAAACTCAATTTTGTTTTCTTGGACTTTGGAGTACCTAACTTAAAACGAATAACCGTAAATAGTTGAAACTCTCTTTAAATGTTTACATTAGCATTTACTGAACATGATTCAAATTTTCAAAATATATTGACTCATTTTATGTTCTTTATAGGCGTAAAAGATTTTTGATTTTTGTTTTTTTTTTAATTAAAAATTTTGTACAAAAATCTTTACTCCGAAATCGGTATTCCCTCGACGTGACTAACTTGCTAGACACTCAAATACGGCTCATAAGTTGTACTCTTTGGTTTAGACTTTGGTAAAAGCACAAGACTGGAAAGTTCAAGTCACTAGGTTTAGGTACCTAGTTAATGTTTATCAAAAAACGTTTAGGGNTCTGTCTCTGTGACTGTAATCCTTACCATATGATATTATCTATGAGTCTATAAATTATATTTTGTATTTACTTTCATTTTTTTATCATCTAATTTCTACTCAATACTCATTAATAAACCAACTGCTATTTGTCAGTACGCCAAGAATAATTAAGTGTAATATTGACGTGGTCACGTTTAATTTTCGATAGATAACAGCTTAATTTAAGTCTAACATTCATATTGTATATTGCCTATCGGCTATCACTAATATTTTTTAGTGTACTCTCATGATTAAGTAATAATAATTAAAATAATTGTCACAATACTACAATAGATAACTAGATATAACTTATTAGTTATTACCTACGCGTTTTAATTGATTTAAAATTTCGAATTAATACAATATTATGGCTTTTACTCCGGGATCTGCCGTTTCTCCGTCTGCCGATATTGAATTATCTTTGGCATGCAGGTAAATGTGTAATAGCAAAATAATAATGTACTTCCCAAATCCCAATTTTAGTATTGACAGTCAACAGATGTTATATTAATTTAAAAATTTTTATATAATTTTCACTTACTTATTATCAGTGATTGTTGAATACATTTTAATGGTTATAATATAACGTGAAATCAAATTAATGGTAATATAATATTATGTACCCTATAGGGCTATAGAACAATTATTATGTTAACCAATATGTATTTGACATTTTTAATTTGTTTAAGTGTTTTTTATTGCGGAGAATAAAATAAAATAAATATTCCATTTATATTTATAACTAGATTGTTAAAAAAAATTGTTTTAATATATATTTTAAAACAATTATTTATAAATACATATTATATACAAATATTATACACCAAAAAGTACTACTTACCAATAATATTGTATCAATTTTTTAAAATTTTAAATTCTCAATATAAAATAATAATCTACAAGTTAGTTTTAGTCACGTATCTTTTTTAAAATATTTACTTAAATAATTTGATATTAACATAAAATTAAAAATGTTGACTAAAATCAAAATATGACAAAAAACAATATCTTAATCAATCATACCTATCATTAAAAAATTGTACTTTACCTGTATTATTTTTAGGGGGCTATCTGGTACAGATGTTATGTCAAAATCCGACCCAATGTGTGTAACATATGTACAACCATTTGGCCAAAATAAATGGGTAGAGTTTCACCGAACTGAAACTGTTAAAAACAATCAGGATCCAAATTTTGTTTCCAAAGTATTGATAAGCTACAGATTTGAAGAAAAACAGCCTATGTTGTTTGAAGTGTATGATACTGATTCAAAAGATAAAGATTTATCAGCACATGATTTTCTTGGAACTATTACAATTCCTTTAGGACAACTTGTTGCTAACAAACGTGTAAGAAAATCTATGCTACATTATGGGCGAGAGTACTTTGTTCATAATAAACTGTTTTTATTTTGTTTAGAACAAGTTACAACTAACAGATCGTAATGGGAAATTAAAAAGTAGCTATTTAGTTATAACAGCAGAAGAATTGGGAATGGATAGAGATGAAGTAATATTAGAAATGAGTGGGTTCAAATTGGACAAAAAAGATTTTTTTGGTAAATCTGATCCATTTTTAGAAATTTATAAACTTACAGACACTGGCAATTACACATTAGTTTATAAAACTGATGTAAGTAAAAAATTTCAAAATATTGGCGATAAATAATAACATGGTTTTATAAAATGTCTTATTAAATATTTTTAAAAAGGTTATTAAGGATACATTAACTCCTCGTTGGAAGAAGTTTACTATTCCTGTCCGGACATTTTGTAATGGGGATTATGAACGTGATTTAAAAATTATTTGTTTTGATTGGAATTCAAGTGGTGATCATAGTCTTATTGGTGAATTTCATACCACTCTAAAAGGTCTCTCAAATCCTAATGCTACTTTTAAATGCATTAATGGGAAGAAAAAAGTAGTTATTGTTTTTTTATTTATTCCTATTATTATTTTATTCAATTTTCTATATATTGCTTTATTAATTGATAAATATTTTCAGGAAAAAAAAAAAGATTACAAAGATTCTGGAGAAATACGTGTGGAATACATAAAAATACAATCAACTTATACATTCTTAGATTATGTCCAAGGAGGAACAGAGATATTTTGTACAGTAGCTGTTGATTTTACTGGTAAAATAAATAAATAATTTCTTTAAAAAATGTAAAAACGTTTTAATACATTTAATAAAAATTGAATATTAATTTGCATGATTAACAAGACTAAATTTGTTTGATTAAAATATTTGAAAACCTGCAAAAAAATTAGTTGCAGTTTCAATAGTTGTAATTGTGTAGAATATATTATATTATTTTTCAGCCTCGAATGGTAATCCATCAAAACCATCATCTTTGCATTTCATAAATAATGCAAGTATGAATAGTTATGAACAAGCTATGTGGAGTGTTGTATCTATAATTGAAGACTATGATTCTGATAAACAATTCCCTGTGTTGGGGTTTGGAGCTAAAATTCCACCTAATGGACAAGTGTCACATGAATTTTTTGTTAATATGAATCCTCAAAATCCCCATTGTTTTGGAGTAAGAGGTATATATCCTAAACCAAATACATCATTAAAAGTTATATCTATAATTTAAAATTATATTATAAATAGGTGTGTTAGATGCATATCGTCATTGTATTAATCAAGTTCAGTTATATGGACCTACAAATTTTGCGCCAGTAATCAATCATGTAGCTAAAATAGCTCAAAATAACAGAGATGGAAGTGGTTATTTTATTTTACTTATACTGACTGACGGAGTTATTACTGACATGCCAGATACCATTCAGGTACTGCTATTTGTTATGTTAATTTAATTTGTATTTTAAATTAAATGTATTACATTTGTCCCTAATATTTGCATTAATATTTTCTTTCGTGCTACTAGAAAAGTAAAATATTTTATGGTAAAAATATAAACATAATATTGTTTTATATTTTTTATAAAATCTTGAAATTAGTTAGTATAATTATGCTTTTATAATGGTTTTGTAATTAAAAATTAAAAATTAAAAATAGTAATAATATTTATAAAGACCCTGCCCTACACCTTGCCCATTTAATTTTTATTTTTTCTATCTAATTTGAATTATTAAAAATAAATTATTTTATTATTTCTATACCTTTATTTCTCAGGCTATTATTACAGCATCTTCATTACCAGTTTCTATAATTATTGTGGGTATTGGTAATGCAGAATTTGATGCAATGGAAGAATTGGACGCTGATAAAGGAGGCTTAAAAATTAATGGGGTGAAAGCAGCAAGGGACATTGTACAGTTTGTTGCGTTCAATAGTTATCATAATCTTGACCCTAGTGTTGCTAATTTACATTTAGCAAAAGATGTATTGGCCGAAGTACCTAAACAATTTATGGACTATATGAAGATTAATGGCATTGTGCCTAAAAGGAGAGCATCTCAAACCACAACACCAGAGATTGAGGATTTAAAAATTCAATGAACTAATTAATTGTAAACAGCTTTAAATCAAATTTTCTTTTTTCTAAATCTATTGGTGCTATGTATTTTATTTCTGTTACAATGTGTACTATAATTACGCAATACTATTTATTTCATTTAATTAAAGTACCTATATGGACCTTTCATACTGATGAATAATTATTTATATTATATTTCTACACATTTTAAACTATTTTATCTTGCTAGCATTTTAGATTTTTATACAAAATGTACGTACTTACATGTTTGATTTTATTTTTTAAACACTTATACAATATATTATTTTTTATTTTACTTTATTTAATTGACATTTTTATATTGGTAGGTATACTTCATAACATTGAATTATTTTTATATACAAATTTGTTATAACCTAATACTTTGTTTTAAGACTTTAAACTAATTAACTAATTAAAAGTTTAATGTGTTTTTCATTCTCATTTTAAAATTTTTAAAAATGTGTTAATTTAACACTAAGGCTCAGCTGTTTAAATATTAAATGATAATTAGGTACCTAACTAATTTACCATAACATTTTAATTTTTTTGTTGAATGTTTTCTTATTAATTATATTTATGAATGTTAGCTTTAATATACCAGGCCACTAGCTAAAGCATAATATTGCATAATATATTATACAATATGCTTTATCATGCTCAATAGTCAATACACTTTTAATTTTAAAACATTTTAGAATTTGTTTTTATCTGCACTGCTTTCAATGAGAAATCAGGACTGTTAGGCGGATGAAAACTCGTCATCCCACAACTTCAACACTACAACAGCTATTGTCCGCTGTACGGCGGTATGCCCGAAATAGTCCTGGTTTCTCGTTGAATGTGGTATATTTTGTACCATATTATTACACACCAAAAATAAATATTATTTTTATTACTTGTTATCTTATTCTAGAAATTTATTTCGGATCTAATATTTATATTAATTATTGTTTACTTACTTGTTTTAAATATCTTTTTAATCATGTCTAAAGAATTATTGTATTTCTATTTTTTTAAACTATTTACTGACTCACTGACCTGACCACTGTGCAACTAGGACTTAAAAAAAATTGAATTGTATTACATATTTTTATAAATGCTTGTCAGATATCATAAATGTTTCATTTTTAATCATGTAAGAATGTAAGATCAAACATATAATTATTAAAATTATCGCTAATTTCTCATTTCTTTGTAATGAATATTTTATTAATTAATTATTTTTGTTGATTTATATGGATTACTTATTAATTATAATAAAATAAAAACAAAAAATGTCTGCTTAAAAGTGTAGTGTTTAACTCTAATACCATTTATACTCAGTTTTAGATGTATAATATTTATGCAGGTGCTGGATTTAACACTTACGGATAGATATCTTGAAAGCATTAGGTATTGCTGTATGTATATACTACATTAGTAGCGTCGATTAGTGTACATAACAACCTAACTAGTAACACTGTAACAGTAATAACTATTAATATAACCTCGATTAGTGGACTCTTACCTAGATAGGAAACTTTTATGTTTTCGGTTGAACATGTTTTGGTATTTCTGTCTGCGTTTAACTGGTATTTACCTACAACTTTGTTTTAAAATTCCAATTATTGCACATTTTGTTGATTTTAACCTTGTATATTTTTAGTTCATATTTAGCGATATTTAAAGTAATATTATAGTACGTATTTTGCAATTTTAAGTGTTGTAAAATCCCAACCCCGATTATTATTTAAAACATTCATAGTTCATACCTCCTAAATTATTTGAGTTAGAAATGTATAAAAATTTTTTTTAGTTAAAACTAAGATTTTACAATTTAATACAAGATTCATTGAAAGTTTGACTGCCTTTATCTAAAAAAAAAATTGAAATTTCCGCCATATGTTTATTTTATAAATTCCTATATACTTGATAACATTTTAAAAATATTTTGACTGGTTTTAAGTAGTTTACGGACATTTTCAATTATTTTTTAAATATCAATACAATTTTATTTGATGGGTGAAAAAGTGTGAACATTTAAAATGCAAGTAAATAAATTTTGTCAAAATTCTAGCATTAAATGCTTATGCAAAAAAATCGTTCCAATGTATTTTAAATATTTTTCAGCTGATATTGTAACAAGTTATCAAGAGTCTTGTGTTAAATTTTCATGTTTTTGACCCAACCAATAACATTTTATTGACATTTATAGAAAAAAAAAATTGAAAATATCCGTGAACAGCTTAAAAAGAGTCAAAATATTTTGAAAATTTTATCAAGTATATGAATTGATGTAATAAACATTTGGTGTAAATTTGAAGTGCTTACAGTAATACGGTTTTGAATTATAATAAAATAAGAAAATCGCTACAAGAGAAATCGAGTGAATATCCAATGATGTAAAAATTTCAACTTCAAACGCTCATAAACATTTAATTTGACTTTCCGGTAGAATTTTTTTTTTTGATATAGGTAGAAAAACTTGTAAGAAATCTTGTATTAAATTTTTAAATCTTAGAAATAAATACAAATTTTTTATGAATTTCTAACTTAATATAATATGCTAATTTTCGTGATTTTTACGAATATTTTCAAAATTCTAAGTTTAAACGCTCATATAAAATTATTGTGGATTTACGCTCAACTTTTTTTTTAATTTCTATCAACATCAACTTACCAGAAACCTTATATTACATTTTAAAGTTTTTTGACAGAGCAAACATTTTTTTATCGACTTGAGTTTAAAAAAAACAAATAATAATCGAAAATTTCAAATGTTTATAAATAGTTCAACATAATTCAAAAATTTTGAAAATTTTTACGGTGTATAGAAAATGCTTAAAATGCTTACACAAATATTTAGTGAAAATTTCAAGTATCTACGATCATTTTTGTGAAATGTCAATTTTTTCGAAAAATGGTTTTGCTTATAAATTCCCGTTTTTTCTGTTGCTTTTGAAAACTATTGAGAATTTTAAATTTTGAACTCCCGAATGCACCAACTAGATTCACTTTCCTACCAGAAAAGTTGCTGTTGAATAAAATCGAAGCACTTTTACTGCAATAAATCGTCTTCGCTCGTTTTTTCTTTTGTTTTTTACCGATTACACCGATTACCCCATTACAGTGATTCACTGTAATCTACTCGTACTATACAACAAAGCAATATCTACTTACCCGATTATTTACATATTAAACTACAAAATAATTTGAAACATTTAAACTTCAAAACCCAATGATTTAAAAAAAAAAATGTTACGTTTGTATTTTTAAATAATTATAAGAACAACTTATGAGCGATTTTTTTTTAATCTTCAAGATTTTTACTGAGTCTAAAAATTTTTGTCAACTCATGAAAAAATTAAAAAAATTAAAATTCCTGTTTATAGCTTAAAAGCTTGTTATTTTGAAAATTATTGGACAACGTTTTCCCAATCTAACTTTATGACCCTGTAAAATGCCAACTAGATCCACTTTGCTACCAGAAATCATCCTCAAAGGTGAAAATCGAAATAATATTATTTTTTATTACTTTTAAGTAGGTACAAAAGGCGAAGACAAATAAAAAACATTTTTATAAACAACAAATCACTGTCAATCCATACTAGCTACATTCATCGCTCCGCTCAAAATTTAAAACTAAGAAGATTGACTGTTCAGGTAGAATATAAAGTTTTAGTTTGAAAAGAAAATTAAAGTAATATTGTAGTAAAATGAAATTATACAACCATAGACACCAGTGGCTTATTTCCGAGGGGGGAGGGGGGGTCATGGAGTTCAGACTCCTCCCCATTGACTCGTGTCTCGTTCGAGTTATATTTTGTGTTTTTACATTTTGATACAAAACAATGTTCAAGATAGGTACACAAATATTTATTTTTCTTTGGTTTTACATAATTTACAATATACAAAATCCAGGTTCAAATTCTGGTTATTAGAACTGTACCCAGTAGAATTTCCTAAATTAAATTAAATTAACTTAAGTATATAATATATTTTACAAAATGTACATGTTTATATTTATTATTAAGTAATTAATAATTGTATCTATATTTCATAATTATAAATGATCTGGAGCTTAAAATACTATGGTTTAATAATAATTAGGTTCATCACTCATCACTGTTGGTAAATCAAAATATATACCTACAATAATTATCTACTTACTATAAGAAATAATAATATACTATAAACCGAATATAATAATTATGATTGGTTGACAGATCTATAAAAAAATAAATTATTATTAGTATATTTTATAACCATGTATAATATGCAATAAAATATTGCTAAGGTAGGGAGTTATAAACAATCAATTGGTTATGATCACCTATAAAAAATGGGTAGAACGAGGGTATGAAGAACATTATTTTAGAATTATTATCTAAATGAAATCGTATACTAAGGCGAATTAAACAATACTCATACACAATATAACAGGTAAGGTACCTTATTATCGGGTAGGTACAAGTACTGCAACATGTAAAGAAATAGTGTCATATAATGTTACCTATACAAATTTATTACCCACCTATTCAGAATTAGGTAGATATGTTTCATGTTTACATGTAACATGTTAATTATAGGGCTACAGAGTAAAATAGGTAGGCACCTACTAAATTAAACAAATCGTTCACAACATGTATATATAAAAGGAGATATGGAGTGGGGAAATCAGAGCGAAAGCAGTTCTCCCACTGGTTGAGTGATTTACTAGAAGGTACCTTGTACCTATCTGGTTGTACTATGTACTGGATTAGTTATTTGTCTGTGGTTAGGTTTTTCTTGATCTGGTATTGGTTAGTGCTTAATAGTGTATAGTTTAATTCTCAAGTGCCAATTTATAGACCTCGGTTAGACAAATGGTGCCTAAGACGGTAGGTACGTACCAACAGCAAACAAAACGCAATAATAGATATCAATAATTTTCCATATTTTCTCTTAAGGATATAGTTCCTAAGGCATATTTAAGGGCGTCCTAGATTAATTTTTTTTGTATAGATATAGGTAAATGTGATGGGTACAGTCGAATATTGTGATTATGCTCATATAATAATACATATCGTGCATTCGTACCCATAGACCTTATACTACTAGAATACGTTTTTTGATTACTCGATTACTCGTGCGCACTGCAGTGCGGGCAAGCAGGGTAAGATATATTGATTATTGTATTTTTTTCTTAAAGACAGCCTATATGCCACTGCGAGGTGTTGTTACACAAACTGCATGCTGTAGTTATACACAGTTCTTGTCTAGTACCTAGTATTAGGTCTACGATAGGTCTATGATTGTACCTATCCATGCGGACTTAGTCTCGGACTTCGAATTTATACGACTATGCCTACAATTTAAGTAGGTACCAAGGTATAAATGATATACTTGTTAGTTTACCCCTTAAATGTCAGAAAATTTAAACAAATATCTATACCTAAATCAAAACACTATGACATATCAACGTGTTTTAAGACTGAGACACCTGCCAAAATATGCAGTATGGCTTAAGGTAGGAATGCATTGTTGAAATATTATATTAAATTATCGAAATAGATGATAAATGTATTACCTATGTATTATTTTTTTTAAATGTTACGTATTCATGTGACAAATCATATTTATTATATTATACGTAGTTTGGTAGTTTTTGTCAAACACAATTTAAAAAAAAAATGTAGGAACTTATACCTACCTACCTTAAGACTTGAACTAATAATTTTCGCTAGAGTATAGATGTGCTTTTTTCAAAAACCAGATAGATCTAGTTAAAACGCTCAATATTACCTACCTTTAATAATTTATTAAGAAACTAGTAACTAATATTACAACACAATTAATATTGAAATATAAATATTAGATTTTAGAACATCGACTGAATTGCTAACAATTACATTGATGGCTAAATAAACGTATACTTAGTGGATGTATTCAAATGCTTATGAAATTTCATACATTTCTGGTAGGTTTAATATTATTCAAATGTGATATTAATATACTTTAAAATTATCAGAGATAAAATAAAGCTATGGAGCATGAATGGACTGCAATGCCTATCGATTTCTTTACCATGTGATTATGTGCTTAACGTTTAACATTATCCATATTTACGGGCATATCAGTGGCGTATTTTAGGGGTTTTTTTTAGAGGTGGCTTGTCCTATCATTATATTTTGATGTATGACAATAATTTCAAAGTATTTATTAATTGTCAGACTTAAAGTTTGTACAACATGTTATAAAAATGTAATATTAAATTTTTGACGTTCATTCTTTTGGGATTAGAGGGTAGAGTTTTCAACACCTCGGGAACCTCCTAAATACACCACCCGGTAATTTGATAGATTAAATAGTGATAGTTGTCTATAATAGTGTATAGACCTAGTAACCAGTGTCTAGTTGGTAAAATAGTACCTATATTAAATTCCTGATTATTCAATACTTTATAATATGTAAAAAATAATACTTTTTTTAAATTAAACTTTTGAATTGCTTTATGCTTTATAAAATTGTATTGAAAAATAAAAATTGTATCTACAGCAAGAACATTTTCAAATATATTTTTATAATTTAACACAATTATTTTAGCTCAATAAACAAATGTAATTTAGTAAAATTCATATAATCATATTTGTTTAATTTAGGAACTTATTTATTTACTTGATTGGCTATACCTACCTAATTGTCTTTAAATTGGGTATTGAAACAATAGCTACAAGTTTTAAATTGTATTTATGATTATAGTACGTATTTAGTGGTTTCGCAATAAAAAAAAATAAATTCAGTAAATTAGTATCAGAGAAATTAATTTTTACTTATTATTAGTGACTTATTTTAGGTAGATGGTTGATATAACCAATAATGTAACTTGGAACTACATAGTTTTATGCACTCAGTCAAAAAAAAGACTCATAAGCGGATCCAAAGTACTTTGATTAAGGAGAAACTTCAAAAATGAACTGTTTTTATAAATTCAATCAGTGCAATGATTATTGGTAGGTAGGTACTAGGTAGGTACTATAAATTATAATGATCATTGTCCAAGTTGAATGAATAGTGTATTAATTAACTAGATTTGTTATCGATGAAATATTTTTCCATCACTTATTCCTTATTGTACCAAAAAAAAAAAATTAAATCTTTATCATACGGGACCATGTACACAAGGCCAACCAGATCTAATAAATATTGCCCAGGCTGTAGGTATATTGGCATGTTAAAATTAGTATTGTGCGGGCATTGATATATAAATATTAAAATGTAATAAGTTAGGCAGGTACTTTGTACAGTTATACTTATTATTGTTTGTTATTACTTATTAGTTAGGTAGATGTGAAACCTAGTTCCATATTATAGGCATATAATATAGCATGTGTGTTATATTTAACGATTTTAATACCTATATATTTTTAATAGCTATATTAGGCCATGATTTTTTTGTCAGTTGCCATTGAAAGAGTCCCATTGCTTAAACAACCCGGTCACTGTTTACAATCATATTAATATTATGTATGTTTCAAATTGCCTGTAATACCTAGATGGATACGTTTAATTTTTATATACTTTTTATATACGAGTAGGTAGGTAGTAAGAATAAACGTTATTGCCGCTATGGATTTACAATCATTATTTTAATGAATAGTTTAAAAAATCTTCTTAATCTTAAGAACGCATCACCAAACACTAATTAATATTAATAATAATTATTTGGAAGAAAAAAATTGTTCAGTTAATCAGCTTCGCCTCGTCTGCATTTATACAAAGTAGTTCGTGCCACCGTCTTGCTTGTAAAACATTGCATCTGGAACACAAGGTAGTTTCACTATTAGAATTTATAAATATTTTTGTGTAAGCTGAGTGGAAAATAATATTATATTATGTTGTCATGTTAACGTTGTGTAATTTTAGGACGTGATCAGTATGGCATGTAGATATTAGATACCAATACCTAGATAGTTAGATATTTGGTACCTATACCAGCATACAAGCTTAATAATCTGAATTAGATAAGTAAGTACAGCGAAAAATGTTTCTAAAATTATGTCTAATAGAAACTAGACCGTAACCTAATAATAGGCTTTCTATTTTTTTAATGATCTTTGCCACAAATTACACGGTTTTCCGTCTTCCATGGGATTCTACTTACGAAACACAACGATGCACATCAACATCACATTGATTCTCAAAATAACTGAGAATCAGCTGGATAGGGTTTGAATTGATCTTTAGAAAATCGCCATTTGTTTGAATCGCCTAAAATTAAGACAAACAATGATTCTACATTAATCTATGTTTTATAATTAGTGTAAAAAATTATTACTCATAATATATTGGTTATTGTTATAAAAATTATTATTATTATGATAACGATTGAATCGATTGATGGTGTATAATATGATGGGTAATCGGGATATAGAGCAAGGACCGACCGTTAGTATCGTCCGCCGCCCCAATCGATCAACATGCCGAACAGTTTTTTTTAATAAAGAGATATATTTTGTGGCTTGTACTGTTACTTTATTTTGTTTAACAATATACACACACACCCCTCGTCATCAGGGTCGCCATACAATTTATCCCGATCAATCAACAATTCAAAACCTAATAAATAATAGACCATTATTCATCATATAACTAATGAGTATTAAATCACATAATTCAACATGTATTTGCTTGTTCAAAGTTTTTTTAATTAATTTATATTCATATTTTTAATTTCAGTACCTGCCTAGTTTCAATTTATATTTTTTCCTCTTAAGTATTCATTTGTTTTAATTGTTGCAGAAGCGCACACGAGAAAGATAGACGAGTAAGTGGAGAATATAGGTATAGGTGCAGTGCAACTTAAAATCATTTAGTTTCATTCAAGCTGGGTAGATATTTCAGTATTTAAATAGAAATGAATGAATGATTTTGATATTATGCTTGTTCCTAAGTAGGTACTTTAGTTATTGTATTTGTTGCACATGTGGATAGTGGATACATTATTTTTCTTTAAATGTTGATAAATGTTTATTAGTAATATTATTATCAGCCATATATAGATATGCATTTAAATATTTATTAATTTATAATTATCTGTTATGTGCCTAATAAATAATATTATCTGAAAAAAATCAATTAAATACAGAATCACTCGTCATAAATGTTAAAATGTATAATGAACCCAAAACAATTAAATACCTATTCTAAAGTCTTAAATTTTTGATTATCTACATAGCTTTTTGAATAATTATTTTCATCTGACTTGAAAAAACATTGCGCAGTTATAATACAATAACTTTTCTTTAAAAACAAATAAGATTTATATTATGTGTAGTGTGTACATTATAAATTATTATGTTTGAGCAGGATGAAATACTATAGGTATTAGGTAGTATTATATCAATGCCACGTTTAATTATTTTTCACACTTTTATGTTAAAATATTCCACACAATACATGATGCATTGATGGTTTAATGTATATAGAAGTTAGGTTAGGCGTATAATATACGAAAAACGGTATAATATGTACCTATAATATGGTTTGTAGGTACTATTTAGTAGATTGCAGTGGTTATACACGTATACGATAGTGTTATGTATAGTATAAGTGTACACATATAACATAATATAAAGGTTTGTATCCAGTGAATGAAAACTCACATTTTATTACCTTCCTACACATTAATTGCGTTTAATGATAATATTGTAAAGCGAGTGGTGTCCCGGCCATAGACTATCCATCTAAGTGTATAACCCACATAAAGGAACAATATTTGTAGATGTCATCACAATATACCTACTTATATTACTTATTTTACCAATGTTTTTACTGATTTTATTTCGAACGATTATGTTTAATTTCAATAAAAAAACAAATGTTATTGATGTAGCATTATGGGATAGTGTATATTGCATAATATATACATACTTACAAGTTTACAATCTATTAGATATACCTATTATTAAAATAATAAATAAAAACATTTTATAAATATAAATTTTGTTTGTAAACCATAACAATTCTAGACTAATTTTTCATCTTTAACTATTAAATTTATTAAATAGCTTATACAAACCCTTTATTTTGTGTAAATTATCAAAATAGTAGCTGGTATAAACTAAATCTACACAATTGTAGAATGTAACTTAAAGGTAGTTTGGTGTTTGTAGCTAAAAACTTATAACATATTATGTATCGTTAGTTTGACGTGACACTATATTATTATGATGGTCAGAATGCAAATATAAAGATTGATTTTATACCCACCATGATTTTTAACACCGTGAATTATTTTTTTTATAATGCACTTATGTATATGTAGGTAGTAGGTACCTACAACAATATTATCAGATAAAAATGATACAATACACCAAAGCTTTGATATACCTTTAATATATTATCATACATTTTTATTGAATTATGATAAATGAGCTTAAATGCTATATTGCTATTTATACAGATAATTTTCATGTTATATGTATAGAAATAAATACAGAAATGATTGAATTGTTATGATAAAAAAAGATTCTGATGCTAGAAGGTAATAAAATAGAACGCTATACGATACTTTCTCTGTATATTATAAAAGGAGAATCTATGAACCATAAATATGTTAGTGTTAATAAATAACTACGACAACAAAAAATCGGTCAGAAACAAAACAACGTGTATTCAGCCCAAGAACATATTTAAGTTTAAAAAATATAGAGTAATAATAATATCGCGTTGTTTTACTACAAATTTATTAAAAACAATAACTTTGTACCTATACTTAAAAATTAACTTTTCAAGCCTGGTTTAATTTAAAAAAAAGATTTTTAAGATTTTTAAATAAAATGATACGAATCCTGTGCCCCTCCCCCCAACTTGGATGTACTTGGGGCCCCCGGTTTATAACGTCACTGTTCAATGTGTTAGAAAACTTCAAATTTATATGCATTAAGGTACCTTTACAAAACTATGATTAATAATATTTTGAGTTTTTATTATAAATAATTAAGATTCTACCTATAACTAAAATCAATGTAGTAATTAAGAATTTTGGACGTAGTGCAAAAAAAAAAACAGCGATCTTCAAATCAGACTAGTCAGGCCCCTAAATGTATTGTATAAAGCCCNCAATACTTTATAATATGTAAAAAATAATACTTTTTTTAAATTAAATTTTTGAATTGCTTTATGCTTTATAAAATTATATTGAAAAATAAAAATTGTATCTACAGCAAGAACATTTTCAAATATATTTTTATAATTTAACACAATTATTTTAGCTCAATAAACAAATGTAATTTAGTAAAATTCATATAATCATATTTGTTTAATTTAGGAACTTATTTATTTACTTGATTGGCTATACCTACCTAATTGTCTTTAAATTGGGTATTGAAACAATAGCTACAAGTTTTAAATTGTATTTATGATTATAGTACGTATTTAGTGGTTTCGCAATAAAAAAAAATAAATTCAGTAAATTAGTATCAGAGAAATTAATTTTTACTTATTATTAGTGACTTATTTTAGGTAGATGGTTGATATAACCAATAATGTAACTTGGAACTACATAGTTTTATGCACTCAGTCAAAAAAAAGACTCATAAGCGGATCCAAAGTACTTTGATTAAGGAGAAACTTCAAAAATGAACTGTTTTTATAAATTCAATCAGTGCAATGATTATTGGTAGGTAGGTACTAGGTAGGTACTATAAATTATAATGATCATTGTCCAAGTTGAATGAATAGTGTATTAATTAACTAGATTTGTTATCGATGAAATATTTTTCCATCACTTATTCCTTATTGTACCAAAAAAAAAAAATTAAATCTTTATCATACGGGACCATGTACACAAGGCCAACCAGATCTAATAAATATTGCCCAGGCTGTAGGTATATTGGCATGTTAAAATTAGTATTGTGCGGGCATTGATATATAAATATTAAAATGTAATAAGTTAGGCAGGTACTTTGTACAGTTATACTTATTATTGTTTGTTATTACTTATTAGTTAGGTAGATGTGAAACCTAGTTCCATATTATAGGCATATAATATAGCATGTGTGTTATATTTAACGATTTTAATACCTATATATTTTTAATAGCTATATTAGGCCATGATTTTTTTGTCAGTTGCCATTGAAAGAGTCCCATTGCTTAAACAACCCGGTCACTGTTTACAATCATATTAATATTATGTATGTTTCAAATTGCCTGTAATACCTAGATGGATACGTTTAATTTTTATATACTTTTTATATACGAGTAGGTAGGTAGTAAGAATAAACGTTATTGCCGCTATGGATTTACAATCATTATTTTAATGAATAGTTTAAAAAATCTTCTTAATCTTAAGAACGCATCACCAAACACTAATTAATATTAATAATAATTATTTGGAAGAAAAAAATTGTTCAGTTAATCAGCTTCGCCTCGTCTGCATTTATACAAAGTAGTTCGTGCCACCGTCTTGCTTGTAAAACATTGCATCTGGAACACAAGGTAGTTTCACTATTAGAATTTATAAATATTTTTGTGTAAGCTGAGTGGAAAATAATATTATATTATGTTGTCATGTTAACGTTGTGTAATTTTAGGACGTGATCAGTATGGCATGTAGATATTAGATACCAATACCTAGATAGTTAGATATTTGGTACCTATACCAGCATACAAGCTTAATAATCTGAATTAGATAAGTAAGTACAGCGAAAAATGTTTCTAAAATTATGTCTAATAGAAACTAGACCGTAACCTAATAATAGGCTTTCTATTTTTTTAATGATCTTTGCCACAAATTACACGGTTTTCCGTCTTCCATGGGATTCTACTTACGAAACACAACGATGCACATCAACATCACATTGATTCTCAAAATAACTGAGAATCAGCTGGATAGGGTTTGAATTGATCTTTAGAAAATCGCCATTTGTTTGAATCGCCTAAAATTAAGACAAACAATGATTCTACATTAATCTATGTTTTATAATTAGTGTAAAAAATTATTACTCATAATATATTGGTTATTGTTATAAAAATTATTATTATTATGATAACGATTGAATCGATTGATGGTGTATAATATGATGGGTAATCGGGATATAGAGCAAGGACCGACCGTTAGTATCGTCCGCCGCCCCAATCGATCAACATGCCGAACAGTTTTTTTTAATAAAGAGATATATTTTGTGGCTTGTACTGTTACTTTATTTTGTTTAACAATATACACACACACCCCTCGTCATCAGGGTCGCCATACAATTTATCCCGATCAATCAACAATTCAAAACCTAATAAATAATAGACCATTATTCATCATATAACTAATGAGTATTAAATCACATAATTCAACATGTATTTGCTTGTTCAAAGTTTTTTTAATTAATTTATATTCATATTTTTAATTTCAGTACCTGCCTAGTTTCAATTTATATTTTTTCCTCTTAAGTATTCATTTGTTTTAATTGTTGCAGAAGCGCACACGAGAAAGATAGACGAGTAAGTGGAGAATATAGGTATAGGTGCAGTGCAACTTAAAATCATTTAGTTTCATTCAAGCTGGGTAGATATTTCAGTATTTAAATAGAAATGAATGAATGATTTTGATATTATGCTTGTTCCTAAGTAGGTACTTTAGTTATTGTATTTGTTGCACATGTGGATAGTGGATACATTATTTTTCTTTAAATGTTGATAAATGTTTATTAGTAATATTATTATCAGCCATATATAGATATGCATTTAAATATTTATTAATTTATAATTATCTGTTATGTGCCTAATAAATAATATTATCTGAAAAAAATCAATTAAATACAGAATCACTCGTCATAAATGTTAAAATGTATAATGAACCCAAAACAATTAAATACCTATTCTAAAGTCTTAAATTTTTGATTATCTACATAGCTTTTTGAATAATTATTTTCATCTGACTTGAAAAAACATTGCGCAGTTATAATACAATAACTTTTCTTTAAAAACAAATAAGATTTATATTATGTGTAGTGTGTACATTATAAATTATTATGTTTGAGCAGGATGAAATACTATAGGTATTAGGTAGTATTATATCAATGCCACGTTTAATTATTTTTCACACTTTTATGTTAAAATATTCCACACAATACATGATGCATTGATGGTTTAATGTATATAGAAGTTAGGTTAGGCGTATAATATACGAAAAACGGTATAATATGTACCTATAATATGGTTTGTAGGTACTATTTAGTAGATTGCAGTGGTTATACACGTATACGATAGTGTTATGTATAGTATAAGTGTACACATATAACATAATATAAAGGTTTGTATCCAGTGAATGAAAACTCACATTTTATTACCTTCCTACACATTAATTGCGTTTAATGATAATATTGTAAAGCGAGTGGTGTCCCGGCCATAGACTATCCATCTAAGTGTATAACCCACATAAAGGAACAATATTTGTAGATGTCATCACAATATACCTACTTATATTACTTATTTTACCAATGTTTTTACTGATTTTATTTCGAACGATTATGTTTAATTTCAATAAAAAAACAAATGTTATTGATGTAGCATTATGGGATAGTGTATATTGCATAATATATACATACTTACAAGTTTACAATCTATTAGATATACCTATTATTAAAATAATAAATAAAAACATTTTATAAATATAAATTTTGTTTGTAAACCATAACAATTCTAGACTAATTTTTCATCTTTAACTATTAAATTTATTAAATAGCTTATACAAACCCTTTATTTTGTGTAAATTATCAAAATAGTAGCTGGTATAAACTAAATCTACACAATTGTAGAATGTAACTTAAAGGTAGTTTGGTGTTTGTAGCTAAAAACTTATAACATATTATGTATCGTTAGTTTGACGTGACACTATATTATTATGATGGTCAGAATGCAAATATAAAGATTGATTTTATACCCACCATGATTTTTAACACCGTGAATTATTTTTTTTATAATGCACTTATGTATATGTAGGTAGTAGGTACCTACAACAATATTATCAGATAAAAATGATACAATACACCAAAGCTTTGATATACCTTTAATATATTATCATACATTTTTATTGAATTATGATAAATGAGCTTAAATGCTATATTGCTATTTATACAGATAATTTTCATGTTATATGTATAGAAATAAATACAGAAATGATTGAATTGTTATGATAAAAAAAGATTCTGATGCTAGAAGGTAATAAAATAGAACGCTATACGATACTTTCTCTGTATATTATAAAAGGAGAATCTATGAACCATAAATATGTTAGTGTTAATAAATAACTACGACAACAAAAAATCGGTCAGAAACAAAACAACGTGTATTCAGCCCAAGAACATATTTAAGTTTAAAAAATATAGAGTAATAATAATATCGCGTTGTTTTACTACAAATTTATTAAAAACAATAACTTTGTACCTATACTTAAAAATTAACTTTTCAAGCCTGGTTTAATTTAAAAAAAAGATTTTTAAGATTTTTAAATAAAATGATACGAATCCTGTGCCCCTCCCCCCAACTTGGATGTACTTGGGGCCCCCGGTTTATAACGTCACTGTTCAATGTGTTAGAAAACTTCAAATTTATATGCATTAAGGTACCTTTACAAAACTATGATTAATAATATTTTGAGTTTTTATTATAAATAATTAAGATTCTACCTATAACTAAAATCAATGTAGTAATTAAGAATTTTGGACGTAGTGCAAAAAAAAAAACAGCGATCTTCAAATCAGACTAGTCAGGCCCCTAAATGTATTGTATAAAGCCCAGTTGGGAGGGCGTCACCCTGTTCCACCCCGGGTGGTTATAGCTGCACTGTTTAAGCTAATTTCAACACTGCAGATGCATGTTATAAAATCTTATGTGATTTATTACTGAACACAACTTTATTTATTATTGTACAAAAAAATAAAGATTTAATAATATCGCAGAAGATTATTAAAAAATGGTATAAACTATATAGCCTTAAAAATGAAATAAAAATATGTCCTGATTATAATTTATAATGCACCTAAATACCTAGTAGAATATAAAAAATAATGTCAAACTCCTTTGAGTTTTGAATAACTTTGTTATTGCATGTACAAGTCACGAAAAGAACTTATTTTGTGACTATAATACAGGTACAGCACATTGTATGTTATTTTGAATCTCAAATTGTATTTTATTTTTGTTTTAACTATAGTAACATCGGTTACTAGGCCATTAGTTTTTCTTTCATTTTAAATAACATCATATCGTTATAATTATACCTTATATAAGATATAACTGTTCAGGTAATCCGATTTATTAATATTACCTATAATTTATAGGCGTTTGAAAGTTTTAATAAAATTATTTAAAAAATAATATAATTACTAATAGTTATGCAAAACCACGATTTAATATGCTTGTTTACTTGCCTAGTGAATTGAGACCATAATGCGCTTGATACATATTCTGAGCATTGGTAGCCATCGTCGTGATCGGCACGGAGCTGAGTGACGAGTTCTGATGGTTGTATCCGCTCATGGTAACAGTACCGCCGGCCAGTTGACTGAGTCCTAAGAATGTTTTATATTTTAACTATAAACGGTCTCAATGTTTACATGAAACAAATATGATATAATATTATAATCATATGAATTAAAATATAATGATAGAAATCAAATATTATATTAATATATTTAATTATTATGTACACGGTATCTACTATCTGTACCTCCAATTATATTATTCAAAAAAAACATTTTGTTTACAGTTTATTTTATAAACTGTACCTATACAAATTGAAATTTTGAAACACAAAGTAAGAAAACAACAATAAGATACCATTTTAATGTTTCAGGTGTAAGATTATTTTCTGAGGTGCTCAGGGGGCAATAAACCTCAAGTAGTCATCTCATAGATTAAGGTAACACTACACTTTAAAAATGTTTATCTAAAATATGAATTTGGTATTTTCGATAATAAAGTAATAAACGGAGGACATTGTCAGTGCTGGATTAAATATTTGTGGTATTCTAGAATCTTATTACTTGAACAGTTAAAATGTCGGTGCCCCTTATAAAATTTTTAGCTATATTTACATCTTTAATTGTATTACTCATACTGAATAATTCAAACAAGCAATTTTAATAATAATCAATTAATTGTAATAAATAAAAAAAAATATATTGAATTATTTCACTAAAACTCTAATTTTTTAAATTTTTTTTTCATTGAAATGCCAATTTTTTATAATAATATTCAGTAGTTGGTATAGCTACAGCTCGGCACCTAGTCACCTCGTTTGTCATACTTTAAAACCTAGGTATATGTTATACATTTTAGATGTAACATCTACATATTATTATTGGTACCTACCTATGTAGGAATATATGTATAATAAATTCAAATTGAATTACCATGTAGACTGTATCATACACGTTACAACTATACAAATATAGTAAATATATATACTATACCCGTGGCCATGCTAGTCACACCCCATCTGGTGTCTGGAGAGCTGAACATTGACGTGGGACACAGACTGTCGGACATGGACCCAAACGGTGGTAGTCCGTGGGACGGCAACAGGGCACCAGGGCTCCTGAATACGTTTGTTGATTTCTTGCGTTTTTTCCACTTTGCTCTTCGGTTTTGGAACCAAACCTATATTAATCAAAGATTTAAGTTCTACGAATAAATTTATTTTGGTTTGAATATTAAATTATTTACATATTTAAATAGGTATACATATTCATAATATTTATTATAATTTATAAATACGTTTTTGATTAACACTTGCTTGCTTAGTTGCTTTATGCTTAAATATGGTTTATATGTTATTTGGTTGATTTGTATATATATAAATAATGATAACGATTCGTTTATATACCTAATCCACGAAAAAAAAACTGCAAAAGTTTTATGTCTACACATAGTCGGAACAAAAGAAATGCAATAAAGTGCTTATACTGTCGGTATACTAATTTATTTTGTAAGTAATAAAATGTACAATATCTGGGCTTTCGGGAGTTATAATTTTGTACTATAATTTATCAAATGACGTGAACCCCCTATACCGTATGTTTGGTGCGTGAAAAGTAATAAAAGTAGAGGGGTTGTATCTAATAATCCTGTAATCCCGTTGACCTAGGGATTACTGAATGAAAACCAATTTATTCATGCCTTCTGATGTTCGGCGGAGTTCATTTTTTTCGCCCTTCCATGCGATTAGGTGTATGTGTATAACATGAAATATCTTAACATATAAATTGTTACAATGAAACGGTGCACACAAATAATCGAGTAGAATAAGTGGTTATGATATGAAAATATTTGATATGATATTATATGGATCTCGGAAAAATTGTACGATGTCCCATGTTTGTATAAACAATAGTATGATCAACGTTAATAAATTGGCTTATTTCGTGAGTGTATTCAGTTAATTTCACTAAATTGAAAATTTTAACTCTACAACTTGTATTGTGATCACGGGTGATCAAATTTCAATGTCCTCTCAGCAGCAGGGTAAACATAATTAGGTATGTGCACAGACTATAATATACTACTTATAATTTAATTATAAAAGTAATATGTAAAATCTTAATTATCTGTATAACTATACCTGTGCTTAATTATTTAACACTCAACATGTTTAATGTGCTTAAATTTATTTATGGCATATCACAAACTCTTAAAATGATTTAGTTTTAATGTAATTTGTGAACAGTAGGCGTACCTTTAATAATTTAATGTATTGTAGGTACTTAATACAATACCCACTAAAATGTACATATTATATTATATTATATTATATTATACAACTGTTACAATTACTTCGACTATAGAGATTTACCATTCATACAAGATTTATATTCATTAGCGGTGGTGTTAATAATGAGGTCAAAAAGATGACGGGACTCGTGCTGATGTGTACCTAATGGTAAGTGCTATAGCATTAGAGGCGAGGGACTTTAGGACGTTCAAACCCTTTTCTTAACGCTCCCTTAATTGTTTAACCCTTTTGTATAATCTTATTTACTTTTTGCACCTTGATCCTCAATGTAACGCGTCCGTAGATGCAAACTGGGTAAATTTATTTAAGGCTAGTTATTTAGTTATAACTTATAAGAAAAAATTTACCGTTTATGATGACGAGCTGAGTGCAAAATGAAATAGTTTTTGATAAATTGGAAGGCATTTATTCCTACATACTTTTAAGTTCATGCTACATATAAAATTGGGACCTACATAACCTAATAACTATAATATTAATATTAATAATTATACTTTTTTTAAGACCTGCAGGATGCAGTAGCACATAGACATTGGCCATTTAGACTTGAGGAGTTTTAGTATTTGACATTTGTGTTTAAAATGATGAATTAATTTTTCACATAAGTGAGGCATTAATTTATAATGTGTTATATTTTTAATTGGAATCCACATGAAAGGTGTACTGTATATGGTATAGGTATACTCTAGGTTATTTTTATTCATAAGGAAACTGTTTATTGTGTCTGATGAACTGGTTACGTCTGGAGTCTACAATATTTGAAGGTAGGTAGTACAGGTACACATATAATTACGTCAAGATACTTAGATACGCGGTCTTTGGTAGTTTGGCTCTAAGCGAAAGCTTCTAATATAGGTATACTGATATATAATATTATGTTTATATGTATAAATATGTATATAAGCGCTTTGCATATAAAATAGTCTATTTTAGGATTGGGGGATGTTGGGTGAAAAATAAAAACAAAATTACACTTTGACGTATGACTGCGTGTACATGCGCGCATGACACACTATAATATGCAAGCGAGATGATGTATATTGCGTGGAAACGGCAAATCACGCGCCTTTTGCTTCGTGGCTGCAGCTTTAATATTATTATATACATGTATATACATTGTATATAATATACGATTTAGCGTTCAATTTACTCTAACCCCGTAGAGTAAGCCCGATGGACTCTGAGGGCATAGGGAGGATATATGCACACAGGCGCACGCACACACACACACGCAAACACACACGTACACATTTACGAATACTGCAGTCATGTGTTGTGCCTTGTGCGTTTCAAATAGGGTGTGCTCGCGCGGTATACATGCGTGAGGGGGTTAGTAGGAGGAGGTGTAATAAATCGGTCGGTACCCGTCGACGGTGTGTGTGTCCATTAATCCGCTAATGGTGAAATCATACCGTTTCGTTTCGTTTCGTGTCAGAGAAGGCCGTAAACCGCACGCACGCGCAGGCGCGAATACACAGACACACACACACATGCACACACACATGCACACACATAATGTATAAGCAAAAGGAACGAAAGTCCGTCCGGGTCACTCTCTCTCACTCTTTGCTCGTCGACTTGTTGGACTATCGCACACACATTACACACACACACACACACACACACACACACACATCGAAACACGAAATTCATAAACCAATAAACTCTCCGCAGTCCACCACCGCCGACCGCTGGACTTCAATCACTGCCGCCGCCGCCGCCACCTTGTCGACACCCGTCTTTTCACGGCTCGTAAAATCCGTTTGCGCGCGCAAACCCCTAAGCTGTATACATATTATTCGTGGCCGCCGGGGGTGACAAATGGAATCTCAAAGCTTTTTTTTATTGACTTTTCTTTCTCTCGTTTTATTTTATTTCTACGTGCGCTGCCATATATTTTGTACGTCGCGTTTAGTCACGCGTGTGTACCTATATGTTACGATAATATAGTAATAAACAAAAAAACAAAAAGTCCGTTATTACAGGCTGTAAATTTTCGTCTTTTTTTCAAAAACTTTACCACGCAAATTCTAATGGTGTGGTGCGGTAATATATGTAAACATACATACGCATATACATTATAATATTGACACATAGACACGGTAGTGCGTGTAGTAGCCGTAATACGTACGAAAACAATAGATACACGCGTTAAAGAATAAAGTGTGCTTCGGTATTATTATCCCATGTATATAGATATAGGTACATGCTTCGTTTAACCGACGCGCAGTTGTTTATTCGTTTTTATGTTTTTACATTTCAATCGGTGTCAATTTTCAAGCGGTTTATTTATGTTTTCTTTTAACGCAGTCTTCTGAAATCTGCACCACAGTTATTATATAGGATATATTACGACTAGGTATATAGGTGTAGTGTAATACGCTATTCATACTTGCTACAACAGTTTACTCCATTCATTTGTAGTATATTGCTTATATTTACATCTATCTGCAGATAGAGATCTGTTGAGATTTAGTAATAGAACTTGCAGTTGCAAATAATCATTAGATAGATTTTCAAACTAGCGTCCAGCTCTCCCCTAAATTCATCGCCTAGTCCCGTTAGTTTTAAAGCAATCGAACAACTGTAGTTATATTGAAGAAAGTTTCTACTTCAATTATTGAAATGTATTTTAAGCATTTTAACTCCACTGCGTTTATTGTGATGACTGGCGATCAAATTTCAATGTCCTCCCAGTTGTAGGGTAAACAAAATTATACATATTTTGTCATTAGATACGTATATTATATATGGTCTTATTTTATTTCTAAAATTATTTGAAATCACGAAAATTTTGAATTTATTTTTTAATTAATAATTCATAAAAAAATTATATTTTTAATAGCTTAGGCTTGAAAATGTAATTCAAAAATCCTTATAAGCATTCTATCAAATGAAAAAAAAAATGTTAAGTTGAATTAAACTGTAACAAGCATTTAAAGTTTAATTTATTACGAAACTGTTATCATAAACCGTTATAATTCAAAAAAATATTAATAAAAAAAACTTGGAACATTTCACTTTCTATGCTAGCTTTTAAATAAATTATAATTTTTCTAGGCGCAAATACAATTTTCCAATCACCTATATTTATTAATTAGACTAATGTTAATCAGTTTTGAAATGTATAGACATTTGAAATTGTCTACGTTTTTAGTTTTTTTTCTTAAGTCTCCCTACAAAGGTGCGACTGTTTTGCAAAGATAATTTAAAACTAGTAGCCTATAGGTATGGAAATGTTGTATATATTCTTTTCACACACGAGTATGATTGAACATTGGCCAGTTTTATAGAAATTCATGGGGTACGTTTCCCTTTAATGATTTAAAAAAAATTGTTTTCATAAATAATTAGTATAGAATTTGTATGAATTAGTACAATGAAAATCAGAATTTTCACTCATTTATTTTCAAACGAATTAGCAAAATAGCGTGGAGGTCAGAAGAAACGTTTCTATAACCATTCCCCCCAACATTTTTTTTTTTGTACGAATATTTAGTTTATAATTTGTACGAGTTTGTTCACTAGTCAAATGTTCGATACATATCTCAACCAAAAAACGTTTTTTAGTCATTAATACGTATTTTCTTTAAAAAAGCTTGAAAATGTAATACAAAGTTCTTCGTAAGTTGTTTTGTAGTAACTTAAAATTATTAAAAATGCATGGACACACCACACACATTTTTTTTAACATTTGAAGCTAAAATTTAAAAGTGCAAACTGTTAAGTAATTACTATTGTATGACGTTTTAATTTTTTATAGCCAAGATAAGGGGTAATATAATTATATCCATCTAGACCGTAAATTGTAAATAACTATATATATTATATCCTTGTTCATTTTTATTGTAATTTTAGGCTAATAACT